TATATATATATATATATATATATATATATATATATATATATATATATATGGTATGTTCCTAAGGAAAGTAGAAGTTTTCTAGTTATTTTCTGAATGAAAGATGAAAAATATAATATTTTCGAGGTTATCAATATTGAATTGTTTCGAAAAAATTTGATCATCATATTATAAAATTGTAAAGAACTTTCATATGTCTTGAGTAATTTGATATGAATATTCAGCGTTGAAAGGGAAATATTAATCGATTTGTTGTTACACCACGGAAATGAAAAATTCTAAATTACTATGTGAATATTGTAATCGAGGAACATACCGAAAAAATTTCGAAATTTGATTGATTTTAATGGAATGTTTACAATGTGGAATCTATTTTTTACAATTTAACAGTAATTTTTAATGAATAAAACAGTGGAAAATGCATGAACGAAGAAAGAAATTCCAAGAATATTGAAAACACTTAATTTTGTTATGAATTTTTACTATTCAACGACGGAACATTACTCAACTTTTATGAATTTTCACTATGTTGAATTGTAATTTTGTATTACAATATAAAACTTCGGTTTACACTCTGGTGCCTCCCACATTTTACTTAACGAAATAACCAACCTTGCTATATTGACTACTAAAAATTTCAGTGGATGACAACATTGTCCATTGTTTTAAATTCGAGGAATCTCCTCCCTCTTTCGACCACGCAATGGCTCGGGTGACGGATTCTAAAATTTTAAACAATATAATCTCTCCTTGTCTGTCCTCGTTTTCAGAATGAATATACGTGACGAAGCAAAATTATTAAGAATAGTTTCCGAGGATAATAAAAAAGATTGAAAATAGTTTTTTACTTCGATGATTTCAGAACGATTACGCATTTTAGTGGGGAGGGGATATTTTTTTAAGTGACAAATTAAAGAAATATGTTTGTCCTCCTAAATTTTACTCGCGTTAATGTAAATTTTACTTTGATGCAACCACTATCTACTATACCGCCACTCAATTTTTCCTGTGTTTAACAGTAATTTTTCCAATTCTTCCTCCATAATTTTTGAATATTTTCGGCTGTGATTTTTCATCCAGCACGTCGCAGTTTTTCATTTATTCTTAAAATTACTATGTTAAATGGTAAATTTTCAAGTGCGGTGGGTACGGTTCTGCTTTCAATTTCTCGTATTCAAAATTACTATGTTCTAAAGGTAAAAAGCAATTTCATAATCTTTCCGTATAATTTTCAGTAGTAATATCCCAAGAGCTTCAAAATTATCGGGTATTTCCCGATAGGTTCGATGCAAACAAATGATGCGCGCAAGCGCTTCGGATTTATTAAACAAAACGATCGTTTGTTTGCAGAGTAGTTTGAGGGAAATATCTCATTAATTTTTAAGCTCGATGGGTATTTGTCTGATTATTTTTCCCAATCGGATTTTGGCCAATCAAAGGGCAGTGAACAACATCAGATGGTAAATTAGGGACGATTTGATCAAATTATGTTAATAGAATGACCCAATTTCCATAGACTGTCAAATATAAGATTCGATCTGGAATGAACCGGAAAAATGAAGAGTTACTGCGAAATATTAAAAATCGGGGAGAAAATATCCCAAATAACACTGCCGGGTAGCCTCAAATACTGTGTTGCGGTTGATCGAAATCCGATTGGAAAATCATTAAAAATCCGAAAATTCAGGACATGTCATTTATTTTTAACATCCTCCGTTGAAAAATTCAGACATGATTTTAATAGGCTATGAAATTTAGCATAATTGATTATCAAGAGCAATACGCATTGATTGTAATTGTCATCAAATATCGCATTCTTTGTAATTATCGTAAAGCAACATTAATATGAATCCGATCTCTAACGTCAGATAAAATTTTTCCACAAAGTCATCTGCGAAAAGTCAACAGACAGACTTTGCTGTACACTGTTTACATTATAAAATATCTTGGTAATTTGCGTCATTCAAATGATAGACACTGCGCGAATCTGACGTTTAAAATAAGCTTTTGCCTGGAAAAATGAACCATTATTCGACATTTACATTTTTATTACTCCACTACACTAAGAATCACGGACATCTCTCTCAGTCAATAATATTATTTGCGACTCTATAGAATTCCATTTAATTATCCCATTCATCACTTTAATTAAACACGTTAAATTAATTTCCTCGGAATTCCAATTGATCCTATAACGAAGAGAAAGAATTCGACCTTCTATGAAAGCAATTTTTACTTTCCATCGTGGACTGATTGAGACTAAAAAAATTCCTCTAATTGATGAATTGAGGATTTTCTCTTAAGTCTGCCGGAGAGGATAAATATTTATCGCTGAGTCTTTTTCTTGTTAGCTTGAACAATTTCGTTCACTGCACTTGGCATTAAAGTGGAAAGTAGAGCAATTGAATGTAGGATTATCACGAACCTTTCGAATCAAATCTCCCTGAATATTATATTACATAACTATAGGCATTATAATGGCTCCGTAGAAAATATTCAATTTTAAAAATGATAATAAATTAGGACTGTGCACGAGACTATTTTTACACTTTTTTATCTGTGGTGACTGATTTATTTATTTATTTATTAATCACAAAATTTAATAACCTCATCAATGGCTCAATTTTCATCAACAAAAACTCATTTTTTTCTAAAATCGATACTCGACAGTTCTTTGCATTGATAATCGATATTTTTATTTTCGATGAAAAAAAAATCGATAACTCGCATTTTGAGAAATGGTTTTCTCCTTTAGTATAATGACTAGCATTATAAAGCGCGCTTCGCACGCTCGGCACTTGGTGTCTGCATCTTCAATCCCATTGTTGAAGAAATTAATCATTAGATTAATATGAACATAATATTTTATATAGTTCTCAGATGCAATTGCTTAATTTATCATCACAATTTCATGCGGTTGATTATCAATGAAGTGGATCTGAATATATAATCTCCATAGTTTTGTCTTATAATTATCAGGGGAATCTTTCGATTTTGATTTCCTATTCACAAGGTACCACTCATTACAGGGTGTCCCATAGCATATGACCAAAGTAAATTGCGTAGAATACCGCAAGGTGGCAGTGCAGTCTAAAGTCTAATATATGGATGAAGTGGAGACTCCGCAAATTTCATTCATGCTTCAGTCGCTCGGAAATTGCAGCACTAAAATGGAAAATTTAACCATCGAACAAAACTCATTCCTCATCAAATCATATTACCGAAAAGGAGATTCAGCTACTGCAGCTATAAGAGCATTTCATTCTAAGTATGGCACACACATTGGAGTGTCTGATTCGAGCCTCAAACGGTAAATAAAGTGAATGAACTAACCAAAAAATTTTGTTTCCTTCTTTTGTTGAAAATTGACGCATTTTTCGACCAATTATGGGTATTTTCAGAATAATTAAGAAATTTAACCAGTACGGTACACTAGACGATAGAAGGCATGAGCATACTGGTCCTTCACGTACTATAACCACGGATGAAGTTGTCCGCACAACTGAAGAACATTTCAAAAAATATGTTGAAAGAAAAAGAAAAAGAAATATGTTCAAACCTTGAAAGTCTCAAAAACGTCACTTCACCGCATTGAAACTGTTTTTAAACTTCCATCCCTACAAAATTTCTGTACATCAATTTTCAAGTGAGGAGGCGATGGCTCGCCGTATGCAATTTTGCCAAGAACTTCACAATTTTTTTGAATCCAAGGAAATGAAGGCACAGAATATCATCTTCTCGGACGAAGCACATTTCTACTTAGGTGGCTTAGTAAATAAATAAAATTTTCGCTTTTGGGGGACTGAGTCACCTCACGTTATTGAAACTAAGTCCTCACACCCGAAAAAAGTCACTGCATGGGCGGCAATTACAATAAAAGGTATTTTCCTTGAATTTATTGAGAGTCCGACAATCAGTGCTGATATTTACTGTGAGTTCTTGAAGAAGAACTTCTTTCCTTGGGCACGAAAAAATCAGTTAGTCAAGAATTTCTACTTCATGCAAGATGGTGCCGCCCCACACAGGACTGCTGGAGTATTTGAAATAGTTTTTTCCATTTACAGCACTCGTGTGTTAAGCATAGGTTACCCTAAGTATGCCCATGGGAGCATGGAATGGCCGCCTTACACTCCGGACTTGAATCCCTGCGATTTTTGCCTATGGGGTCTTCTCAAGGACAAGTGCTATGAGAAGTATCCGAGGACGGTGAGAGAGTTGCAAGACGCAATTAGGGATGCTATCCGAGCTGTTAATAAAAACATAATACAGCGCATCTATACCAGTTTCGAACGCAGGATAGAGTTTTGTAGTATGAGTGATGGCGGACACTTGGAAGGAATCGTATTGTAATTTGCCGAATGTTCCTTGTACAATAAGAAAAGAACAATTATTTACATTTGAC